CCGTGGGCCTGTGGAAAGCGGAAATCGCAGACCCGTACGGCCCCCTCCAGGATGGCTTCAGTTTTCCAGGAAGGCGCCCCTGAAAATCCAGCAAAAAGCGGCACCCTCTTAGAAAGACAGAGCCACTGCAAGGAGAGACGTTGCAGCCTTCCCGAAAAGTTTGAAAGTCCAGGAGCTCGGGGAGTGAGTTATAGGGTTTTTTTTGGTCTTTCCCTAGTTCTGTTGGGGGGTGGTGTCCCTACAGAGTTTGGACAAAAGGTGCAAGGCAACCTTTCCAATTAGACAGGTATTCACAGCATCCTTTTGTGGTTCCCCAAAAAAAGAACAAAATGGTACCACTGGGCAACTAAGATGTACTTGGGGGGCGGGGTTCAAAATGGGATCGTTTGTACATGCGAACCCGACAAAGCCGTTTCTGGTTGCCAAATTTACCGAGGGCATAACCTGCAAGACGCAGCCGCATACGGACCCTGGCAAAATGGGGGTCATGACTCTTAAAAAAATGGGTAGATGAGCTCATTGTTTAAGGGCTGTGGAGACTCACCCCTCTTCAGTGGAGTTGACCTTGCTATTTCTGGGTTGCAACGCGGAAAACCTTTTCCACTTCCTAAGTTGGCAAACGAACATCCAAGTCGACCGTGACAGCCCCGAAAAGTAGGCCACTAAACGTATCTGGCCAACAAGTAGAAAGTGCAGGAATCTAGGGAGGTCCTGGTGAAACATCCACTGGGTCCTCCAGTAAAAAGAGGTGAGGTGAGAATAGGGGTGCTCTTTTTTCTGTAGTCTAAGGGAAACCTCCCCAAAAAAAGGGGTGAGAAAGGGCAGTGGGGGACCTAGTCCAAGTACCGCCAAGGATCCTTCTTTCTAGAAAACCTCAAAAAACGGGCAAACGGCCGGTTTTAAAGAATGAGAAATCCCCTAAAACTCCGGCCAGCTGCCAGCTCCTCTGCTCGACTGTCCAGGCCTCGAGGTTGGCATGAAGAATCCACAATGTTGACCCCCTATTGATCCAGCTTGGGGGCGTCCTTGGGATCAGTGGGGAGTCATCACTTTTCCCGTTAAGGGGTACACGAAACGCACACATTCATACACATCAACTAGTTGAATCCCAGATAGGCCCGAGAGGTACCTTCTCAAACGGTCCAAGTATATCCTCACAAGTCAGAAATTAATTTCACGACGGAGTTGGGCTCTAACAACTTGGTCTTTTGGACCCCAAGTGACATGGGCAGCAAACAATGCCCTTCCCAAAGGCTTGGGATGACCAACCGGGCGGCTAAACCAAAGTAACTTGATTGCTTTGACCCTCAAACTGCCCTTAAAGATAGGACATCGCGCCGAAATTTAATGTGCAGTATCCAGGTTTTGAGGAAGGTTCTCAATTTTGTTCAGGTCTCGGGGATAGATGGGCGGAATCTTGTTTTGGGAGGTACCTGGTTTGTGGTTGGTGCAAAGGGCAGAAAAAATTGCACAAATCAGGGGGTAGAACCCATTCCCCTTTCTGAGACAACACACTTTCAGGACCGGGAAGATCGCTTGCTTGAGGCCACGGTGGTGGGTGGGTGGGTGGGTGGGTGGGTGGGTGGGTGTGGGTGGGTGGGTGGGTGGGTGTGGGTGGGTGGGTGTGCGTGGGTGGGTGTGGGTGGGTGGCTGTGGGTGGGTGGGTGTGGGTGGGTGGGTGGGTGGGTGTGGGTGGGTGGGTGGGTGGGTGGGTTGGGTGTGGGTGTGGGTGTGGGTGTGGGTGTGGGTGTGGGTGTGGGTGTGGGTGTGGGTGTGGGTGTGGGTGTGGGTGTGGGTGTGGGTGGGTTGGTGTGGGTGGGTTGGTGTGGGTGGGTTGGTAAGGGTGGGTGGGTGGGTTGGGGGTGGGGTGGGGTTGGGTGGGTGTGGGTGGGTGGTGGGGTGGGGTGGGTGGGGTGGGCATGGTGGGTAGTGGGGGGTGGCCGCCGCGGTCCGGTTGCACACGGCATCATAGTCGCCATCTATGATGTAGGCACGCTAGCCAAAGAAACACGTGGATGCGGTGGATGTGGGTGATGGATGCCGCCGCTTAAAAGCACTACACAGTGTTGGGCTTGGATGAGTATTTGAACGTAGTTGATGTCGTCGGAGGTCGTTTGGGCCAAACGACTCAACAAAAATCCCACGCGGCCACGAGAATCCCACGGGCGAAATATAGCCGCCAAAGTCCGTGAAAGAGCCACAAAAATCAGGAATATGACCTATGACCGTGGAAACCCGTGAGAAGGCCGCAAAAGTCCATGAGGATCGTGAAAAAACATCTTTGGCAGGTGGGTACAGAGTGTTTCACTCCATGTGTTGGGCGCTCTACATCTTCAACAACCGGGACAGCGCAAAGGACCTGTTTCGCAAATTGGCTGGAGGCTGATTTGATCACAATTCATGCGGACATAGCGCTCTCGACCTCATTCACGGACAGAACCGGCCTCATGGGACAATGCAGATGTAGGACGGTGGCTATCTTTGTCCATGGTTGCCCGCTGACCTCAACGTCGCTTTGCGGTGAAGGTCTAAGCGTCAGCTGCCAATGCAACGGTCTGCGCACAATCGTCTCTGGAAATCGTCACATGTGGAATTCCACGGCTGTCAAGGACTTTCGCGCTGCGAGTAATTTCTTGGATGGACTCATTTGTTTGCTTCTTGTTGGATTGAAATTTGCCATCTCTCCAGCTAGCGTTGTGCACATCTTCAACAATTTTGTTGCAAGGGAATGTGCAAAGCAAGCAGTCTAGCAAGTGGATGCCTGCCACACTGGCTGGCTGGTATCCACCTCCTTCGAACGCATCCATCATCAGCCTTCACGGGTTTGACACGATTAAACGCACACTTGGGCAGCCAGCTTGTCGAAAATTCCAGTGACCAGTGTTGAAGACCGAATAGCTAACACAGACTTGAGCCACAGCAAAACCTGATGTTCACGCTGTAGGGGTGGGTAGGGGTGGGTGGCTGGGCAGGGGTGGGTGGGTGGGAAGGTGAGGTGGGTGGGTGGGGGTGGGTGGGTGGTGCGTGGGTGGGTAGGGGTGGGTGGGTGGGCAAGAGTGGGTGGGTGGGTGGGTGGGTGGGGGTGCGTGGGTGGGTAGGGTGGGTGGGTGGGCAGGGGTGGGTGGGTGGGGAGGGGTGGGTGGGTGGGGAGGTGTTGGGTGGGTGCGTGGGTGGGGAGGTGTTGGGTGGGTGGGTGGGGGGGAAGGTGAGGTGGGTGGGTGGAAGGGTGGGTGTGGGTGTGGGTGTGGGTGGGGAGTGTGGGTGGAAATGCGGGTGGGAAGGTGGGTGCTGAGCCAGCACAGCAGGTCATGGCGAAGCCCTAGGATACCTCAAGGCAGGCAAAACCATGGCCGAGGTCAACGCGAAGTCTTTACAACTAGGTGAGCCACTTTTGTGGTGGCCGCTGGCCCCGACGCTCAAAATGCCTAGCCATGGAAAAAGCGTCATCTCCGTCCCTGAAATGGCGAGGAACGTGGAAGAGTGGCCCAGTGAACCTCGACAAACTTGCAGGCTCCAAGCAGGGGATGAAGTAAAATACCAAACCAAACAAAATGCTCCGAAGTATGTTTTTACTGGAAGGGGGGTCACTCTCATGGTCTTTTTTGCTCCAACGACAAACCACCAGCATTCAATCTTCAAGTAGTTCCAAAGCGACCCCTTGGAGGAAGCAAGTCCCTGGAAAAAAATGTTGCAAAACGTATTCTGTATTTGCTACAGCCTGCACTAAATGAAGCAAGCCAAAGCAGCCAAAACTCGAAGTCTTCGCCAGTTCGTGGCAAACACGTGGAGAGCCCGGGAGCCGGGGACAAATGCTTTGGAGACAATCGGAGCCAAGAGGGTCCCTACCCATCTCGACCCACTACATGCTAGTCATGCAAGGACCCGAAAGGCCTACCCTGAAAAGAAATGGGACATCACCCACCATGATTTTTTGTTGGGTTGCAAGCTCCCGTTTTTTCAGGGGGTGGCTCCAAAACCCCACTTTCTGGGTTGCAATCTCTTGGGTTTTCTAAGGGTGGCTTCAGGGTCCAGGTACCTCTCGAAGGTACTTGGAGTGGAAGCTGAATACAGGTCACGGGGGCAACCACCGGCCTCAAAAATTAACCCGGATTCTTTGGGTGGGTGCCTCTACTGTGGATGGACTGAGAACCATGAAATCATAAATTGCCTGCAAATACCAACCAGCAATCATTTCTTATGGTTTCAAAGCGGTGCAGGAGTTCGTCCATCCATCCACAGTATCACCAACGACTTATCAATGGGTCAACATCAATAAATCAAAGAACAAATATCAGCTAAAACATTGTACTGCGCTCAGCACATGCGGGTCTGTCATTTTTTGAGGCTACCCCTTTGTGGTGGGTTTAAACGGAAACCAAAAGGACACCCCACCATTTTTCTAGGGGAAGCTTCCCCATTCTTTCCAGTGATCCTTCTTTTCAGGGGAAACAGCCGGTTCTTGAAAATAGCAAAGGTTGAAAAGAATGGGGACTTAACCCCTAGATGTTTAGGGGGGCCCTAAAACAACGACCCCCAACAAACCTTCAACGACACACATAATAGGATCCTCAGGCTCTGGCCATCTTTCAAGCGCTCAAGGTACATCCTCGGCAAGGGAAAATCCCTCACACGTCTCAGCATTTCACCAGACTATGTTCATTTGCTTGTTCGCCCCCATGAGGGAGAAACAAAAATATAGATCCAGTAGCGACATCGTTTGCCTTCAAAAACGAAAACAAAAAATGACAGAAGGGTGCTCGGGTGTTCGACTGCCAAATTGGTCTGTCTTCTTTTCAAGGACCTCTGGCACCCCGGAACAGCAACATGATGGACATCAACTTTCAACTGTGCCGGAGCCAGCAGAAATCTAGATGGGTCACCCCAACTTAACTCCCAAAGCTTTAACAACTTGAAACGCCACTGAAAACACGAAAGCCTCATTTTTGGAGGTCCCCTAACAAAAAAAGACAGGGAAAGGGGAAGCCACACCTATTTCTTGCCTAGCCCTTCGCCAACTTCCCCCAGATCAGGGTCAGCGAAGCCCTTCGCGAACCCCCCAGATCAGGGTGCCATCGAGTGGCTTGTGCAGCTCCTGAGTCTCCGCCAGGAAGGCGCCCATCTCCTCCGCGGTGTCCAGCCCCAAAGTCGTCTGGGCGGACTCGAGGCGAAACACGGCGGACCCACCATGCGGTGCGGCGCCTGCTTTTTGTTTTTAGTTTTTCTTTTTTTCGGGAGGCGTTGGCTTGGGCCCATTTTTCTGGGCGGGAGTTTTAGGGTGAACCCTCTCAAAAAAATTGCTTGCTGGGAATCGAGGTGTGGTAGGACATGATTTGTTTGGAATCACCTGGATTCTTTTTAGAATCGGGCATGCCCGAAAATATGGGCATGAGTTGTTTTGGAGGATTTGCTGGTGGACACAAGCAAGGCGGGGATTCATGGATTCATGGATTCATGGATTCGAGTCCGCCAACCATTCCTTGAGTCGTATGAGATGTTGGACCATTTGGAAGGTTCCATGTTAGTCGGCGGCAGGGTATGTAGGTTGCCTGGGATTCAGTTGCCACCATGAAACCATTCGGGGTTCACATAAGCAACATTGCTTCCCGTTCAGGATTGTCAACCTCTCTTTTGAATGGGGTTGAAATCTGGGGCGCTTCTTAAATTAGGGGTGCCCGTGTTGCATGGTTTTAAAAGGAAACCCAAGGAAACCAACTACTAGAGTGGTCCCTGAAACATAAAAATGATCTTCCAGCACCCGAACGTCAGCTTCCATGTGAAAAGGGTAGGGGATTGCGCAAAGGACCCAGAAATAAAAGGGTAACCTTTTGGGGCCGTGACAAAAAATGGTTGCCAAAACTGGAAAACCAAAAGGTTAAAAGGTCGATTCGTTTGGGCAACTGAGTCCTTTTTAGACTCGCCACGCCACGCCCCGCCACGCCTTCCAGCCATCGATGGGTGCCCAATCGATAGGCTCCCCCAGCTTCAACTCCTTGATGGCCTACGCCGGCGCGTGGCCGTTGAGGGGCTGGAACTTTTGGGTTTCTCGGTGTCTGCGTGTGTTTCTCTCTGTGTCTTGTGCTTTGTGTTGGTGGACTAGTGTGTTCTGTTGTGTGTTTTGTGATGTATACTTATGTGGGTGTGCATGTTCTATGTGTGTTTGTGTGATTGCTTGCTTGCTTGCTTGCTTGCTTGCATGCTTGCTTGCATACTTGGTTGCATGCTTGCTTGAATAAATGATTGATTGATTGGTTGGTTGGTTGGTTGGTTGGTTGGTTGGTTCATTGATTCATTGATTGATTGATTGATTGATTGATTGATTGATTGATTGATTGATTGATTGATTGATTGATTGATTGATTGATTGATTGATTGATTGATTGATTGCTTGATTGATTGCTTGTTTGCTTGTTTGCTTGTTTGCTTGATTGCTTGATTGATTGATCGATCGATCGATTAGTTTTGTTTGCATGTGTGGGTGATTATTTGTTTGCTTGCTTGCTTGTTTGTTTGCTTGTTTGCTTGATTGTTTGTGTGCTTGTGTGTTTGGTCGCTTGTTGTTTGTGCGCTTGTTTGATAACATTGGTGGCTGGTCCATAGTTTGTTCGGTTGTTTGTTAGTTTGTTTGGTTGTTTGTTTGAGTGTTTGAGTGTTTGTGTGATTGTTTGCTTGGCTATGTTTGTGCGTTTGATTGTATGTGTGTGTGTGTGTTTCTTTTTTTGTTTGGTTAGTTGGTTCTGTTTGGTTGGTTAGTTGATATTGTTGTATTCTCTTGTTGTTGTGTGCTTTGTTGTTTGCTTGCTTGCTTTCTCTCGAGGACTGTGTGTTTGTCTGTTTGTTTGATTGTTTGCTTGGTCGGTTGGTCGGTCGGTTGGTTGCTTGCTTGTTTGGTTTGCTTGCTTGTTTGGTTTGCTGTGTGTGTGTGGTGACATGTTTTGTTTGGCACGCTTTTTGCACTCAGCATCTGGATGAAGTTCGCAAACCGAAAACGAGATTGAATCGGGGATCCACCGTGCTCTACTTCATGGGTGCGGGTTGCAAGCTGGCTACAACTTTGAAGAGGAGAACGCTGCGAATGTTTGGTGGACAGAAATCACTGCCTAGAGTCTCCATGACCCTTTAAAAACAGGGGCATTGCCCAAAATTATGAGGTCATGACCCCTTTTTCTAGGGGTCAGAAGGAGACTCCAGGTATGATGACCGCCAAAGGGTCCCCACTTGAACATAAACCCAATGTGAAGAAGCGAGCATAGAGGAGCCCGTACGGGCCGAAGTGGTCTTCGACAGCGCCATGTTCATGTGCGTGTCCCTCCAATTCATCCGTCAATGCACTCCTTCAGATTGACGTGGAAACTATGTCGTAGAGGAATCTTCTCTTGGGGCTTCTTGTTGGGCGCCATTGCGCTTGCAGAGGACCAAGTTCATTCGGCGTGCCTTGTTGATGCAGTCGAAGATGTTCGGTGGATCGCAGAATGAATCGTACATCGCCGCAGGGTTCTTGTGCTCAATATGCCGAACCTTCACCTTCCGAAATCACGAGTGTTGCCCACAAACCCGCTCACCGAATGAACACTATCCTTAGGGTTCAACCGAGTCCCATACAAAAACACATCGACCCGAGTTAGACGATGAAACTCCTTCGGGTACTCAATGGAGGTTTTTGAACCCGCCTTGTCGCTTTGTTTTAATGCCTAGGTCCTCCAGTAGAGAGGATGGAATAGGTACCCTTTTCCTGTAGTCTATTTTAGTAGGGGAACCCTCCCTACTAAAAAAGGCACAAACACACACCCAGCTGGGGGACCTAGATGCATTTCCGAGCGGCGTCGGGAAACTTGGCGAAGACGGTCTTGTCCAAGACCCGTTTAGTCTTGAGACTCTCAGCGCCCCACCATGCCTCGGAAATTCCGATTCAATGCGCGTCTCCCACGCCGGATCGATGGATTCAGGTTCCCCACCAAGAAAAAGCGGAGACCCCATCACACTAATGTTGGTTCCCCAGCTGGCTGTCCCGCAGAAATTGGTTGCTCCACCCCCCCCCCCCGGCTCGTTAGACCTTGGGTTTAATGGAAAAGCCATGGGTTTCCAAAAGGTCTGAAGGGGTAAGGTTCACACCAAAGACCAGCCAGATCATAATCCTGGGAAATGAACTTTCGCAAAACTATCCACTTGGTGGACTTGCCATGTTCGTGTTTCAGGGCTTGCTGCCTACAAGCAAATGAGCCCTGAAAAACAAAAACATAAGTCGAAGGAATGTCCCCAACAAACCTCCCCAAACACCTCCCAACCTTCATGAACCTACAACCGGATTGGCGAATTGACCGACGTAGGTGTTGGGGAAGCCCACAAGCATCCAGCTACTTCAACACACCCCGCCAGGGTTCTGTTTTCGGACGACCCCTACATAGGCTTCAACCCAGGGGTTTCCCTTTTGGGGAAATCTACCACCCCTGGGTTTAAGTCCACTTTGGGGTGGTCAAAAAATGGAACCCTGCACCCCGCGCGCCAACTTCCCCGCAAAAACCCGAGCGCGGCTTGGAAGCGAAGCGAGCGGCGAAGATGATGGAGCGCTTGCTCTTTTGGCACTCCTCCAGGATGGCGGAGGCCACCGCCTGAATCACCGGCTGCCAAAATATGAGGTGCTCCTGCCAGGAGGCTGGAAAAAAGGGACCCCAGCCAAAAAATGGCCTTTTTTTTTGCCTGGTTCGTGGAAAACAAAGGGACCCCAAAAAAGCGAGAAAAACAAAACGGATTCTTCGGGAAGTTTTTTGAGGCTCGCGGTAGCCTGGATGATTTGTGTGTAGAGGCCCCCCGGATCAACTATATAGGGCTTCGATTCAAAACAGGGCCGACAGGGCCTGTGTTCCTGAAAGAATGAAGCCGCAAACATTTCAATCCTCTTTCCGTTTGGGATTCGTCACCCCCTGCATTCTTCAAGCCTGTTTCAGGGCACGACGTCAACCCCTGACATGGAAGAAACAACTGGTTTTACAAATAATACCACGCTTGAAAACCCCTTCTTCATTGGAATTTACAGGCGACTCATCCATCCAGGGTTTCTGAACGGTCCGAATTGGATTTCGCAACCATCCAGAATAAAAAGGAAAGGGACAAACAACCGGGTGTTAACTATTTGTCCAAACACAGAAACGAGTATCTGGTGCGCTTCTGGGCGCTTCTGGGGGGGCAATGGTTTTCTTCCGCCCGGAATCCAAGCACTCGCTCGACTGTCACTCGAGGCTCGACTCCTGGACGACCTCCCCGGCACGCTGCCCTTCTGAGGGGCGAAGGGTGCAGGCGGCGTTCATGAGAAGCACCCCCTGGCTCAAGATCGCCTGGCGATGATCTTCCCCGCGGTCGAGGGATGCCGGGGTGGCTTTTTTGCCCCCAAGGGTGCAACTAGGAACTTATGGGAACTTCGTCCTCGCAGGGTGCAACTAGGAACTTCTCGAGTCGAGGGATTTCGGGAAAACTTTTCCAAGGGTGAGGCTACAGGCAGGGAATGAGAAATAAAATGAACCCTGTAAACCATCCAACTGGTGGTTTCCTTTCAGGGAATCCCCAGGTTCATTCCCGCATTCCCTAATTACTGAGCACCAGCAAGACTAGGCACTGGGCTGTCCGTTTTCAGTTCCCTTGTAAAAGGCTCTCAACTTCTAGTGGGGCATTGGAAGCCTTGTGTGGTGTCACTTCTTGGTCCTCCAGTCGAGAGGTTAGAATAAGGGTACCCTTTTGTCTGTAGTCTATTTTAGTAGGGGAACCCTCCCCCAAAGGGTAAAATTGGCACTACTGGGGTTAGACAAACATGGACAACGCTTTGGTTCCCTTTTTCGGGTTGATACCAAAAAAAAGAAGAGGAAACAAGCTGAACCCCCATCCGTCTCAATGGATCCGAGCCTGGAACCATTCCGCTGGACCCACCACACCTCGATCGATGCCGCAGACACAACCTTCAAAACGTGACCCATGGCAAACCATTCCACTTTGGGGATTCGGCGAAGTTAGCAAGTTGCTAGTAACTTGAGCTATACACTGCGTAAAAGAACCTGCTAAGTAGAGTTGACCTCGCTATGAATGGGCTCAAAACGCCCCAGAGGTAACTTGGCGAATCGAACATCCAAGAAGTCACCCTGGGATTCAAGCCATTAAAGCAATGGCTGGGTTCGTACAACCTCCATTTCACCGTTCAGGAGTTCCATCATCTAAGTTTGGTCCCCGTGGTTGCCAATCGGGTTCATGGGAATCGGTGAACTCTAGGGGTTACCTTTCCGGCAGGTAGCCTAGGGAACCAGCCTACCAAAAGTTGAGAAACTGGCAATCTGTTTGCCGTGGTTTTGCCTGGGATCCACTCTTTCATAATATGTTATGATTATTTGTTGCATTCATCTAGCCTTAAATACCACTCGGGTCGACTGCCGGCCCAGTCTCTAATCCCGCCAGCTGCCCATGGGCATCTCACAAGCGGCAAGTGACCGGCACAACATGACAACCGCTGGTTGCCAAGACATGCCAAGACATGCCAAGACCCACCAAAGGGGGGTGGCGCACCACATTATCCCGACGTAAAGAACATGCCCCTCAAAGCGGCCACATAAGCAACCTGCTCAAACATGCCATTGACTAGGGTCACCCTACATGGGTTCCGACAAAAGGGTGCGCGGGTGCCGCACGCATAGTTGTCAAGTGAAACTAGCTGAAACCTTTTCATGAACACCTGGTCTCAAAAGAAGGGGAACCCCAAACTGGGTGCTTTCCCTTTCAATTGCAGTTCAATCACACCAAGGAGGCTACGAAACCACCCAGAGTAACGGCCAGACTAGGCCCCGCCATACATTATTTCCCTTGTAAAGGAACGCATGTACGAGCAGTGATTGGCTTGCGAAGCCCTTTCACACAGTAAACCTCGGGGCGAGCCCGCACGCCTGAGGCCTCACGCTCCCTACATTTCCAACGGCAATCCGGTGAAGTTGTAAGGGAACTCACTTTACTCGCTTCCGATCGAGCGGATGTGCCAAACAAGTCGCCACTCTCACAGTCCAAACCCCCAAAGTTTCAAGCCCAGGACATCAAAAAGTCAGCCTAACATGGCCTACATTTCATGGGCTCCCGCGTCAAAAACACGCACTCGAGCGAACCCTGGCTTCTTTTGGGTGCCCCAGGCCCCCAAACTCTCCCGGCCTACTGGGGCACTCCAAAAACAATGGTCGGATGCTGCTTCATGTGTGTATTTGTCAAAATGGGGGGACCCTAGAATGGTGCGTCCCTTGTTTCCCTGCAGTATACCTACACCAATGGAGTAAAGGCATCTGTCAGGGTCGGGAGGCCGTTGCTGTGCAGGAGCTTCCGTAGTTCCGGCACCTTGCCGAGTGCCCCAATTCCCTTTCGGGTTTCTCAGGCCTCCCCAAAGGTACATCCTCAAGAGGTAGCCTCTGCAAACACACTTGGGTGTTCGTCCAGGTTGGCAAGCTGCCAACCCAAGTTATAACCCACGCAAATATGTTGTTTTGTGTGGAGCTAACCTTGTTAGTGGAGTTAGAACCCAGGTGGCTAAACACCCAATCTACCTTGGCAACAAGCATCCAAGTAGGCAAACCACAATGTTGAAGCAACAAAAAGAAAACGAGGACCATGGGTAAAAGGGCCACTCTTCTTGTTGGTAGTTTGTTTTTCAAGGCAAAACCCTTCAAAAATATGAACAACATGGCACACTCGAGCGCTGGGGAAAACATATTCAAACAAGGGATGGTGGGGGCTGCTAGTTTAAACAAAGCTATGGCAACCAACCATTCTTGCTCCAACACGGTTAAACCATTGTTTAAAAACAACAAAAAGCCTTCTTGCGGCTTCCTCCAACCAACTGGGTATGTGCTTTTTGAAGGGCAACCACCAATGTTGGGGGGTCCTAACCGCAAACGATGGCCCGCATCGCTGCCTTGGTGGTCTTGGGGATCTTGAACTTGCTCATCAAGGCTGCCTTCATGATGCAGCCTCGCGGGCTTGCTCGGAGTTTTTTTGTTTTTTTCTCGGAGGGATTTTCATCACCAAAACAGGGCTTTACAAGCCACAAGGCCAGGAAATCCGAACACCTGCTGGAAGCTGGGTTTCAGCTTGCCATGTGTTTATTGTTTTTGCTAGGGATCTGGGTTCGCAAAAAGGACTCAGTTGTTCACTTGTAAGCTAGTGAGTAGTAAGTGGTTGGCCACCATGGTTATAACTCACTAACAACAAGGTCAACTCTACTTAGAGGGGCTTGTAACCGGGCTTTTTGGCTTAGGTTGCCAGCAACTTACTAACTTGGCTAAAAACCAAAGCTGTGATCCTAGAAACAGGAAACCCATGTTTGGGCTGACTATGTTTGTTTGGGAAGCCATCAAACAAAAGGTCAACATGGGTGCCACTGAACAACTCTCTGGAGGACCCCTTGGTGTGTCTCCATGTGGTTCAATTTGAACCATCCAAAAGGCAGCCCACAATTTGAGAAGCCCCCCCCACAGGCTTATTTCCTGGATTGGCCAAAAACAAGTCCAAAGACTTTGCTTTCCACTTAGAAGCTGTTTCCCCCTTGTTGGTGGTTTGGATTGGTGGTTTGGTGGTTTGGTGGTTAGGGAGTGGTTTGCCCCATATAAGGGGTTCACCTGAGGACTTGACCCACCAAACCACTACAAAATGCAAACCCAGCTTGCAGTTGGAGGTACCAAGTCGCCAATTAAGGACCACCTGGTAGAACGCGATTTATATTGCTACAGCTGTTTTTTGGTTTCCTTGATGACCAACCCTCAAAAGGGGTACCCCAAACACACAAGCCCTTCTAAGAACCCCTTCTTCAAAACAGCGCATCAACAAACAAGCACAAGCCCATGTGTTTTCCTTTTGCTTGTCCTTCCACCAGAATCACAAAAGCAAGGGTACCCTGAACAAAAAACGACCAGCCTAAATCCACACCCCCAGCGTCACCTGCACTCTGCCCTCCAACCAAACCAGCCGTATTTTGTTTCGATTGTTTTTGTTTCTCCATATGTAGATTATTATTATTGTTACTATTATTTATTTTCCCTTTTTTTAACTATAAAAATACGTGTTTTCCCTGTTGGCCGGGAAGCGCATGGTGGTCACGGAGCCGAAGCTCGAGGAATCCCAAGACTTCAGGGCGTTGTCCTGAGACGACGCGAGCGGCGGCAAAAAACCCTCCGATCATCTCGTTTAGTTGTTCAAAGCGAAAGCACGGCACATGGTTTCTTTGGGCGTGGCTTTTTTTGTTGCGGCTCAGCCATTTTTTGGTTGTTCAAACAGGGATCCTTACACTATACACCTGAACATTGCAACTTGTAAACCTGGTTTCCAACTTTATGTTGGTGTTGAAATAGCAACATGTTTCAAATAACTACAAAATGGAGATCGTTTTAAGGAGCCCTGTCAAAGCGAAAGCACAAGTCTTCCCATGAAAAGAGTTCGGCAACCAGTTATAGAATGTATATGAAAAATGATTGCGTCACTTTGAGTCACAATGTAAACTGTATCCTAAGTCTACTCCAGTTCCTTTTGGGGGCGGTGTTCCCTTTGGTTTCTCTTGAGACACGCCCATTTGCTTCCATTTGCTTGTTCGCCCCCTGGAAAAAATAAAGCATGTCCAGTAATGATCGGCTCCTTGTAACACAGGGGAACCCTATTGAACAAATGGAAGATACACATCCCTGGATGTTCGATAGTAGAACCACGAATGCGATCGTTTCCCGACTCTGGGACTCAGGCAAGCCACCATTGAAACAATAGTTGGCTTCACATATAACCACCATTCCTTACCAAAGGATTCTCATCATCTAACAAGGGTCCCGGCCACTTTCTATTGGGCGTTGAACCCTAGAATATATGTTCAAATGATTTTTCGGATTCAGCCCAAACCACAACCACGGCACATGGTACACGTGGGCGTGGCGTTTTTGCGGCTCAGCCCTTTTTAGGTGTTAAAAAGGACGCCAAAAAGAAACATCCAGATTGTTTGAGACCCCCTGTAAACATACTCATGTTTCTGGAGCAATGCATGAGCTACGGTCAAGACTCCTTGCCCAACCCCACAGTATGTGTGGGGGTGGGCTCTCCGAATGGGATTTGGAATTCCTTGAATGGGGAGCTTTAAAGGGAACTCCAAGGAAACAATCCATTTTAGGTGGGCCTTGAGAAACACCGATCTCTACCTGGAGAGTGTGTACAAAACAAGGGAAGGGGTTCTTTTTGAAGGAATCACGGTCAAAATGACTAAGGTTTCCCCAAAAGCCAAACGCACATGGCCTTTTGGAAAACTTTGTTAGTTACCCCTTGTCCCTCTATGGACCATAAGAGACCAGTATTCTTCACCCAACCTCACATGTGTGTGGTCAAAGCTCCCTGCTGTAAATGGACAAAACCCACTTCTCACTGGCTGGCATGGATCAAGCCCGATAAGTACGCCTACCAACTAGTGCAAGGGTGTTGTCCATCCACGTTGTATCTTGGCCTAACTTCAGTGTCAAGCAACTCTTTGCGCATGGCCGAAAAATCAGGGATGACGCACTACGTTGCCATAGGATTACCTGGACCCTGAAACCCTTAAACATGGGAATTGGGGTATTGCCCCTAATTTATGGGTTGAATTCCCAGAGGGTAGTGTGAGGGTCCAGGCATATATTCTCTTCCCGGTCTTCAAGGACCACTGACTAGAAGCCACCTTGCCATGGTCATGAAGCCTTGTGGAAGATGGATGTGTAACCCCGGAACCATAACCATTGCCCACATAACTGGGGGATATCCTCCAAACAAATACGGAATACTCCAAGAAGCCGTCCAGGTTTCCTTTCAGGGCGAACATGGAACATAAGCTGGGCAAAAACTATTCCAGGCGTACCTCCGGAACAAATTACCCCCAACAGCTCATGTGTCCACAACTTACTCAGGGTCCAAGTACTTGCAGATCTTTGACCCAATCCTGGCATGCCAACTAAGGCCATTGGTTGGCTTCAGACTGTGGATGAACGTGACGACCTTCGCGACGTCGAGTTCCAAAATTCCCGTCGTAGCGTCGAAGTGCGCAATCCCGGTGGCGCTCTCTATTCGCGGATACCTCAGGCATTCAAATTCCCACTTCCCTTTCTTCCCTTGCTCAGGGCAGGAACCCAAAAGGAACCCAAACGTTGATTCATTTGGGGGTATATGTTTTTGTTGGGGGGGTCCTTTTTTGTTTGGTTTTAAAGGACACCCAAAAGGAACACCACAGTTTTAGTGAGTACCCCTAACAACTAACAAAAACACGCCCATTTTCTGGTGGGTTCCATTGAAATCGCCACTTTTGGACATCCAACAATTTGGGAATTGAGGGACCCCCGGTGCTTACTTGGTTTGGACAAATAACACAGGAGGGAAGGTGCCTTGTCTCCCTAGGTTTCACCGCCCAATAAAAATAATATTCAAGGACGACCATCCTTAGGTAAACAATGGTGGTTCAGCCCTTGTTTTGGTCTAAACCCATGGTAAGGAATTGAAAAGCCGCAGATGGGCACCCATTTATCGCAAGACGACTCAACCTTCGCTTTCACGGGTGATTCTGATTCAAGCGAGATGCCATCTACCTTGCTTGGTACTAGCCTCGTGGTTGTTTGTCGGTGTATGTGGAGATGGTGGTCTTGCGTTGTTGTTCTACTTGATCGTGTTGATTGTGCTGTTCCACATGATTTCCCACCCCACGTCTCTCATACATCGCCGACATCAGGGGGCCCTAGCTCAAAGAAGCAGGTTCCAATCGCTCGCACCAAAGGGCGATCATGTGCATGGTGCTTCCAGTTACCATTGTAGATAACCAGCGATTTGTACTTGCAGGTTTGACATGATGGCTGCCTGTGGTTACCTACTAGATTATGGTAACCGAAGCGCGGGGTGAAGCATTCGAACGAACCAAAACCAACGGGTTACACCGAGCGCATCGCCTTTGGTCGAGTACCGAGTGATGAGTCCAGTGGGCGCGTGGCATCTCCTTCCTCAAGGTATCCTTTTGTCGGCTTTAACGGGCAACCAAAAAGTGGAAAATCACAAGTTTGGCCCAAAGGGTCCCTTGGTACCTCATATGTTTTTCGGTCTTGCGCTTCCAAGTTGGAACTCCTCCAAAACTGCTTCCTCTACACCAATGGATTTCGGTCTACACAAACGGAGCTCACCGGACCGAACCGCGCGCACCGCGCCCTCGCTCGCCCTCGCTCGCCCTCCCTCGATCCGAGGCGCGGGGACTGGCCGAAGGAGACCACGCGCCACTGGGCCGGGGGATTCGGCTTCAAGGCCTGGAAGGTGAGCTCCCGGATGGGGATGATCCGCTTGTCCCTGGCGAGCCGGCGCGTCCGCGCGTCCGCGCGCCGGCGCGAGAGCCGCGCGCAATTCAGCGCGATGCGGGCGATGGGGTTCGTTTCACCGAGCCCGAAAAGGGTACACAAAGAACAGGCCCGGAGTGGAATCAGGCCAGAACTGGAGTCAAATTTACGACCGAAAGAGGTAGACGTCAAAAATGCAGGCAGAGCCATATAACCTTGACCCAATCTAGATGATGACCATCCTTAAGACAGGACAGATCAACAAAATTCATTCATGGCAGCGAATGGAAGATTTCGCTTCATCGTTTCAGAATATGAGTTGGTACCCCTTTTGGAGTGGTTTTGGTTTGGGCCAGAACACGCCAGGAATGAAAAAGGGAAACAAAGGCACCACTGGTCCGGGCGCTGAAGCTTTCGATTCAACCATGGAGGTCTCACGCGTGGGGGTAGATTGTGGGCCACTGGCTACGGGTGGTGCTGAGGCCTTGGGTGGATTGGTGTTGGGTGGTGAGTCCTGGGTTGATGGGTTTTTCTAGTGGGTAAAAAGGGGGTCCTGCTTTGTTTGGCCATTTTCCTACTAAACAGAGCTGCTCCTTTTTTTCCCTCCGACTCCCTCCATTTGCTTAGGTCCGCCATATAGGCTCCCTTTAAAACCAACACAGGAAAAGTTCCTAGTGCTGGCAGGTAACCAGGGCCGCATGACGTAAACCCTAGAGGTAAGGATCCCCAAGGGTTTCCCGCCGAATCTTCCGCCGGCTCCGACTTTCCGCGCGCGTTGAGTCGGCCGAGGCCAGGAGTTTGGCCTTCGCGGCGCCTGGAGGGCCCGATGAAGTTCGGGGCGGTGGACTGTGCCTCGAGCACCGGCGCCAAGATCCGGCGCCACACCGCGCCGTGGCCCATGCCTCGCTGGCGCTGAAGTCGGCGGATGGGGGTGGCTGCATGGCGGTTAAGGATGACCAAACGGAAAATTCGTACACTCTCCTGAGCCTAAGGCATGGGGTCACTAGGTTCATACTGTCTACCAAGAGACCCGAAGGCTTCCTTATGCCTTTTGACCTTGTCAAAGGGAAATCCCATGAGCAACTCAATCCCCACCCCAGAAACATGTCATAAACAGGTCCCACCAGGCTATGCCTTATATGCTTTGACCAGTTGGCCGTGATGCTATTGCCCGGTCGAGGCCCAGTGATGCTATTTTTAGTTGGCCTACACGTAGAGGTAAGAAACACTGGTTACCTATAGGGTTGGATGGAATCACTATGGATTCCCCCAGCCAAAAAAAAAAAAACATCGCCTGGAGGTACCTCGTATTTGCGGATATGACACATCCCGATTTGACAAATTGCCGAAATAACCAAAACCCAAACCACAAATATAGGTGCGTCTGCTTTTTGAGGGTCAGTTTCCCTTTGGCTAGACCCATATAAGCCGCTTGCGCAACCTCTTGTGTAGGAAAAGGACATTGCGGCTATCGTGTTTTTTCTTCTTTTGTGTAACCCTATCGTTTCACAAGTTTTGTGTGTCTTCACATTTCAATCTAGCTCTTTACATACTGTGGATGGACCACCTAAGAAATCTGATGATGCTGTGGTGTTCCCGGATTTCGCAACCATCCAGAATCCACAGTATTGATCTTCCGGAGGTTTGTTGGGCACCCTGGGCTACCTCCGAATGCAGCTGCTGCCATGTCTCCCTCAAAGAGCGGCGCGAGAACCAGCGGATCCTCCGTCGTCTCCATGGGCTCTGCGGCTGGCGCGCCTGGGCTACTGAGCAACTTCTCTCGTGGATTCGATTGGTGCGGCGTTTGGATTGGTGGTGAGGTGGCTTTTCGGGGTGGTTTCCCATTGACCCTCCAAAAGGAGCCCTGGGCTTCGATGCAAACCATCATA